GCAGGACAGCAGCACATGCATCTTCGTAGCTATCACCGTCGCCCGCCACGCAGACTTGCTGTTTACGGGGTTGTCTTTGCGTGGCTCGAAGCCAGCAGCAGCAGCAGCAGCAGCAGCAGCAGCAGCAGCACCAGTAGCAGCAGCAGCAGCAGCAGCAAGCACAGGCCGCATGCGGTGGATGCTGAAGAGCTTCTGGGGGGACATTACCCAGCTGCTGCTGTTTGCTCGTCAGGCTGCAGCAGCAGAAGCAGAAACAGAAGCAGCAGCAGCAGCAGGAGGAGGAGGAGCAGCAGCAGCAGCAGAAGCAAGCAGCAAGGATCTCGTGCTGCAGCTGCTGCTAGCCATCAGCAGCAAACTGCTGCTGCGGTGGGTTCTCCCCCTCGAAGCAGCAGCAAGACGCCTGCTGCAGGCTGTCTGCCGCTGCTGGGCTTTCTCTAAGCAGCAGCAGCAGCAGCTAGCTGCCTTTGCTGTGCTGCGCAGCTTGCTGCTGCTGCAGCAGCAGCAGCAGCAGCAGATGGGGTCAGCAGCAGCAGCAAAGGGGGCATCAAAAGCAGCCCGTTCTTCAGGAGCAGCAGCAGCAGCAGGAGCAGCAACAGCAGCAGCAGCAGCAGCAGTTGCTGCTGAAGCAAAGGAGCAGCAGCTGCTGCAGCAGGTGCTGCGATCGTACCAACGTGCTGCTGCTCGTTTGGGGCTGCGTAGAACCTGGCGAGCAGCAAACCGCATGCAGCTGCTGCTGAACGAGATGAAAGAGCTGCTGTCTTTTGCTGCTGCAGCAACAGCTTATAGACTTGCTTATCAATCTATAAGAGAAGTATCCAAACCCTAAACCCTAAACCCTAAACCCTAAACCCTAAACCCTAAACCCTAAACCCTAGTTGTTCTGTTTCTTCTGTTTTTTTTTTTTGTGCGGGACGCTCATAAACCCTAAACCCTAAACCCTCGTTATTGTTTTTTTTGTTGTTTTTGTTGCATGCAGCTGGCTTATAAACCCTAAACCCTAAACCCTAAACCCTCGTTGTGTTTGTTGTGTGTTGCATGCAGTTGGCTCTAACTGTGCGTAGCGCGGTTGCAGCAGGGGGTGCTTCCTCTTCTTTTGCTGCAGCAGGCCGCAGCAGCAGCAGCAGCAGCAGCAGCAGCAGCAGCAGCAAGAAGAAGAAGAAGAACAAAGAAGTTTATAAGAAGCAGCATCGGCAGCAGCAAGCGCATGCACTGCTCTGCTGCTGGCCCTTTATACACAGCTGCAGCTTATGGGGGGAATCCTTATGCATGCATGATGGGGCTTTGAGGCCTTTGCTGCTGCCGCTTGTATCTGTTGCTGCTGCTGCAGTCAAGCTGCAGCAGCAGCAGCTTGCTGCTGCTCCCTTCTGTCTCAATATGCTTGCTGTTATAGGCAGAGCTGGTGCAGCAGCAGATGCCCTCGTTCCTGTTGCTGCTCCTCTTCTCGCTGTGCTGCAGCTGCTGCTGCAGCAGCACGCGGTTGTGTGTAGACGCAGCAGCAGAGATGCAGCAGCAGCAGCAGCAGCAGCAGCAGCAGCAGCAGCAGCAGCAAGAGATTCCAGAAAAAGAAAAAGAGCAGCAGCAAAAACACATGCAGCAGCATCAGAGCCTCTCAAGCTGCAGCAAGCTGCTGCTGCTGCAGCAGCAGAGACATGCCTTAAGATCGACCAGGCGCAGCAAATGTCTATCCATGTACGCAGGCTGCTGCTGCTGCTGCTGCT